TTAAGATTAGGGTTGAAAGCTGGCAGGTTTATGATAAAAAAAATAAATTAAAAAAAACAAGAAAAACATGACGACATCTCCGCACCTCTGTAGTGTTAAAACAATATCAAATTTAATAACTTCTAAAAATATTTTTTCAACTAAAAAATTAATTAATTTTTCAGAAAAAAAAGCAAAATCCTGGCTGATTAAGTGTGCACACCCCTAAACTAAATGTTTGATTAATCTTTATTTGTTTTAAGCATTCGCTTTTCTTTCCTCATCTTAAATTTATAACACTTGTCCACTCTACTTGCAGAAACTGAGCATAAATTTCACTGCAGGTGATGATAATTTTTTCTCAGATTTAGCTCTGAACTCCAGTTTAAAGCTTTGATTACCTCCTAGGAAGCCCTGAGCTGGTCATTTGAATGCATGTTTTTCTGTTTATAAAAATCTGTATTTATCGTCAGCGTTCCCGCAGAGACCTGAAGGGTTGTGAGCAAAACCAGACAGGAATGTGGAACCGTTCATAACTTCTTTCACTCCGGTTCCATCCAGAAGAGAGCAAGAACACTTCTATGGATTATGGTCCATTTAGTCAGTATGAATATGGTTGTATTTTTATTAATGGTTTATTTTTTTCCCCTCTATTGACATTTTTCTGTCTTCTGCTGTGAATTAGTTCTCAATTTACTTGTTTAAATGGAGGTTAAATAAAAAACACAAAGTCCAGAGCAAGCTGGTGCCACCACCGTGCTTCACTGTGGGTGTGGTGTTTTTTTGGTGATGCTCAGTGTTTTTGTGCCGAAGCACGCCTTACTGAACTACATTCTGCAACAAGGTTTTGGGACAAACCCCTGACTGATACATTTGTATAAGGATATTGTTGTAAACATTTGCAAAAATGTAAACTGTGACTTTAGCTAAAAGAATGCAAAATATAAACAACTTTGTTGCAAGATGAAGAAAGGCTTCAACAAGGTGTTCTCTGTAAGTATGTACACAGTTACACAACAAAGTTTTTGCAGCTTTCGTTTTTGTGTTTTTGAGTCCATTTTAAGTTACTTTGTATTTGGTACAATCCCAAAGACTCAACCAAACTTGAAGCATGAAATGCTTTAAGAGTACTGATGGTTTTTATATAAAAAAAAACCCAAGAACTTTTAAATGACATTTATATGCAAATCAGTAAGTACTAGGTCAAGGTGTTTGTTGGAGTGTAACAACATTCAGACCGACCCAACCGGTCTTGCATCATCATGTGACTCTGGGACTCCGGCTGTTTCCCCGCGTGAAGTCAGTGATGGGATGTGTAGTAAAGCAGGCTTCTGGGGCGTGCCTCTTGCCAACCACCTCACAGTTCTACTTCAGACAAACACTTTTGTTTTTGGGGCTGTGAAAATGAGAGGGATGAGTGAGGCGGTGTGGGAATTAGGTGACTGCTGCAATCCCACAGTTGGCGTGGCCGGTGAGTAAGGAGAGCACTCCCTGGGGTTTATACGGGAGGCAGAATAGGTTCAAATCGGTGCAGAAGGAGCTGAGGTTTGAAAATCATGGCTGATGATTCAGGACTCCTTATGTAATCATCCACATGTGTCTCAGAAGGTCCGTGATGCAACCGCAGAGGATTTCACATCCTGACTCTCAACGCCGCTGTCCCGTCCCGATACATCGCCCCAAGCCACGATCTTTACAGGCGTCCGCTAGGGAGCATCGGTGCACCAGCCAGTCAGGCTGTCTGAACAGAGTGGCGCGTAAACAAGCAAACAGGTGGAGTGGTGATGCAACAGCTGCCCCTCAGACCTGTCACACACACAACCAGAGCAGGAGCAGCTGGTTGTGTGGCTTCACTGTCACACGGTGACATCTAGCTCCATCGCCGCACCTGGAGCAACGATTCCGCTTGTTTACGACTTTTGTCAACACAGGTGAACTTTGTTCAACTTTAGGGTGAACTGAGGCCGCTATGTCAACAATAATAATTCAATCTTTCTTTAGGTTTTTATTTTTAAACTCTTTAGTCCAGAACATTCGTGCTCACGGTGTCAGTCTGTGAGTTAAAGTAACACTTTATGATCTACCTATGGTGTGTTTTAAGACAATTGGTTCAATAATGTCAGTACTTAGTATCTACCAGCAGGAGGTCACCTGTTATTTTAGTTTAGTCATAATGAGTTGGTTCAGATGTTTTTGTTGGGATCAGAACCACAATGAATGGAAACAAGATGTAATATGAAGTCTTCATAGCACAATATACAATAAAATTAGAATACACATGAGATTTAAGCATTAATATGATTATTTTCATAGCTACACAAAAAAAAAATCACTAAAAGAAATAAACTGATTCACATTAGTACATCAGTATAAGCTAGTTTAACGGTCCAATGAGGAAGTAATGAAGATGGACCGACCTGGAGCTTTCCGGACAGATCAGATATTAATATCTATATTGGTCCAGACATAGAAAATAACATCCTACATGGTGTATAAGTGATAATACACCCAGTCCATAAGGACAGATCTATTCAGTCTAATTCTATGATTTGTGCTCAGAGTGACGTCATTCTACATTATTTATTTTACAATACATTTAGGATTCCTAATTGCACTTTCTGAACCATTTGAAGGAAGGTTTGTTGCCGTTTATTTTTACATGTTTGATCAAGTTAGTCAACATATTCAGTTTCAGTTTCCTTATTATTCTACATTGGCTGATATGCTCTGAACTACACCCACTGAACAAATTAAAGATGTGTTGTTTCCGTTTGAGCAAGCTTGTGAAGCTGTTGGTTTATTTAAAGGTGCTGTACTGGTACAGAGTTATCAAATAAATTTGTAATTCAGTACTTTTATGTCTGTTTTTTTCTGTATTTGCCAATACTAAACTTCAGATATCTGTATTGGTGTTGAAGAAAGTATCCTTAATATTTACTTAAGATTAATATCACTATGTTTCTCTCTTAAACAAGAGAGAAACATAAAACAAAAAAAACAAAAAAAACATTTAAAAGGGAGGAAATGTATGATGAAATGTCTATCTGTCACATATCTGTCACATTTTGTTTGTCACATTGACACAACTGCAATGTGAAAAAAAAGGGGCAAAATGTTTGCCTGGTTCAGAAGAACGACAGAAAATGGAAATAACCAGCAGTCAAGAAATATAAGTAAAGGTTTTAATGTGGACAAAATATTTAACACAGATTCTTTAAATAAGAGTTTGAATCTGTGATTCAATTCTAAGATGGTTTAGAAGCCAAAACTCCAGTGAGTCTCATTGATGACTCAGAAGCCACAACAATAGAAAAGGTAGACGCTGAACGGTGAAGCAGATCAAAGACAAAGGACAACATCTAGATACAAACTGGTGCAGAAAAGAACTTAATGTTTCAGAAATTCAGATTTTTTTTAAATGTTTGATACAAGAATAAGGAACAAAAAATGGAAACTTCTCAAGAACACCATAGTCACAGACCTGAGACTCATTCAAGCATAAAAGATCCCCCAAACCCACCAGAGGAGTGTCAACACATGAGAGCAAACTGCAATTTAAACTGTATCTTTAGGGCTTTTTGTTCAGAGTTTGACACAAAACATATTTTCTCTCCTTTCTCTGTTTGTAGAGAGAAGTAGTTTAGGACACATTGATTTTCTGAAATCAGTTTTTAGCTGAAAATCTACAAAAAGACGCTTTGGCTCTCAGGTCCTAAATCCTATTTTTTTACAACCACGACTATCATTCAGGTCATTTCAAAAGGCTCCTGCTAAAGAAACGTCTTACTTAAGATATATTGTATATGTAGACAAAACAATGATTCATTCCTTGAGTTAGGTCCCACTGTTCTGTTTGAGTGATAAAGTGAGGAGCAAAAAAAGACAAACAAAAACTTCTGGAAGAGCTCCAAGACTTAAAAAAAGTTACGTCTGCCAACTTGAACTAAAAATAAATAGCATAAAAATTTGGAGAAAAGCTCATTTTCCTTTGAAGTGAATTGATTTTAACCTGAAAGTTTTACTTTTGAGGACAGGGCTGTAAATGTCTTGGGTGGTGACGCTGTCTGTGGTGAGTGATGCTACCCCCTCCCTTCCTGTCAGCGAGTTAACTAGAAGTGCCTGAGGTTCAGACGTGATTTGAAGCCATACATCTAAAGTGACATTCCTTCCTTGCCAAATGTAATTGTGCAATTCAGGACTTTTAACGTACACCTGAGTCTGCCTAGAGCATCAGGAGTCAGATAAGGAGTTCAAACGTAAAAGGAGAGTTCCTTTAACCTCTAACCTGAAAAACTGCTTCATACAATGACAGCTAGAACATTAAAGCTTTGGTTCCCTTTAGCATCTGATACTGAAAGCTAAAGCTACAAAACTGAAGGATGTGTCAAGAAATACAGTTGTTAAAGAAGATTTTAAGAAAGGAAAAGAGTGAAAAAAGCTCAAATGTTAAGAGTTTGGTTACCGCAGTTATCAGTAACTTACCTGGATTTGCCTCAAACTGAACTGATTGTATTTATGGTTTCGGTGTGTGTGAGCTTTATTACCGCTTTTTTGAAATCGTTTTTGGTTACTGTGTTTGATTTTGGATTTTTAAAATGTCTTCCAGTTCCAGTGTAAAGCGTTTTGTACAAAATTAAACGTTTACTAGTCATTGAGAAGGTGAACTTATGTCATGATCAGTATTGTCACCTTCCTAAAATACCCAAGTCATTTATTGCCAAAAGATGATTTATGCACAAAACCACTTTTGACAAAAATTAACTTTAGGAAGGTGACAATAAATTACTTGAAAATGGTCTCAAAACAACATTATCGTTTATTGCAATAATTACTGGGACGATTTATCGTCCCGCAGAATATGTTATCGATACAGGCCTACTGATGATTATGATGGAAAATTTGTGTCGTTTTCAAACTGTAACTTTATCAAACCTTGGTGATGCAGGCAGAAACCTTCAGAAGAATAGAGCAAGGTCCCACAGTGAAAACAAAAACAAGAGATGGACGGATGGGACTCTTACCGTCCAGGTGGCAGACTTGGCCGTGCTGGACTGCTGGAAGGACACGTCGAAGGTGTGCGGCCCGGCATAGTCTGTGTTGGAGGGGATGGCCGGTGACGGGGACAGAGCGTCGAAGGTGGAGCTGGGCTGGGCGTAGGGTGACGGGGCGGTCACGCTGTTTGGAGCGTGTTCGTTGTTGTAGGGGCTGGTGGAGGTCGAACCATTGTTCTGCTCCATGCTGTTCAGGAGCCCCAGGTTCGTGTACTGCGACTAGAGAGGAAATGAGCAGAATGATGGGGAGGGAGAACAAAACAAAGGAATGTGGTCAGAAACTACAATGGATGTTTTTTTTTTTTTTTTTGTCTTGTTCATTTCACGACTAAAAAGGGAAGAACTGATGACTCAGGGTTTTCCCCCAGTGTATTATCAAAGCCTGGTGGGCCACCAGGCCAAGTGTTGTTCATCTGAAATAGCTTTTCCCGTGGCAGTAACAGTGATAGGTTTACAGTTGACTCAGTGAACTGGGGGTCCGCACCAATTGGGTCGTCCCTGCTCCTGCCCGCTGGCCTCACATGGCATTATTTCCTGCTCATGGTGCCTGCTCCTGTACCTTTGAATGTTTGTAACCTATTAAATATTTTTGTCACAAAAACACAGTGTACCGACTTAGTGCCCCCACCACCAGGTAGCAGGTTTTAATGGGGAAACCCTGTTGTTCCTCACAACATAAACAGATCTGACACTGAAGTGGAGAGATTTAGAATAAACAGAAAATTGGGGGGGGAAAAAATTACAAATATGGACTTCATTAAACCCTACAAAAATCAATAGAAAGAATATGGTTAGCCTCATTAATCAGAAATTTGTTTTTTTGTTGTTGTTTTTTAAAATCTAAATAATCTATTAAATTATCTCCTCTCCATCGGTCGAACTCTCCCGACAGGAGGAATTCAAATGTCAGCCTTCGGACAGGATGGAGAGTACGCCTGGGTCAGAGCCAAGCCATTCGCCCCATTCCTTTCCATTTATAAATGGCACATTCCTGGACGAGGTGCTGTGTCTCGCTCGTCGGAGGGCCATTAATCTCTCGGTGGGGCCTCTCGTTTATTTCAAGCTGACCACAGCTGTCCGCCTCACACCCACCACGTTGCCAGGTGTTAGTGTTGTGCCAGGTGACGAGCAAAACACACAGAGTGAGAGAGAGCAAGAGAGAGAGAGAGAGAGGGGGAGAGAGAGAGGGAGGGAGGACGTGGTTTATACAACGGACAGCCAAGTAGGGGATTTAGAAATCGATGAGCCGTGTTTATTACTCATGGATCCATGCGCTGTGACTCAGGCAGAGACGAAGGAAAGAGTCAGACTGACACACCTGAAAGAGGTCATCTGAGTAAACCTGGATGTGTTTGAGCAACAGAGGCTCGCTGTTTGGATGAGGGTCACTTAGCCTCCACCTCACCCCCTCCGGAAACTATGACAACAGAGTTCATGGGAAGCCTTTCTGCAGGACAATTATGGCGGTCATGCAGGTGTTAGGAGACGAGTGTTTAGTGAATGGAGGACAGAAACTCAGACTGAAACACACACACACACACACACACACACACACACACACACACACACACACACACACACACACACACACACACACACACACACACA